TGGTCTATTAATATATTTTTGTCCATTTTCTTTTGGGTTATTTTTTCTCATTAACACAGAAAAATCATTACATATTAAATGTGTAATATTTAATATGTATATACACATTACGTACTTATGGTAAGTAGTAAATAATAACATACTGATGAAACAGAGCAAAGAGTCTAGAAATAGATGCAAATACGCAGAAAAGTTAGTATATGATATACAGGGAGTATATCAATTCAGTGAGCAAGAGATTATTCAATGTATATTGCTGGGGCATCCAAATCTCCATCTAGAAAAAACAATGTGTCTACATCTCGCATTTTATGCCAAAACATTCTAGTGGGATAAGATCTTTCAGTGTAAGAAAATAAAATCATAAAATTATTTTTTTAAAAAAGTACTAAAGTGTGGAAAGATCCTTTATGCCTCACACTGCCTTGAATGATCTCATTCATAGCCATGACTTTAATGACCGTGACTCTCAAATTCATTCTTCTATCAGAACTCTCCTCTGAGAGTCAGACCTATATATACAACTGCCTACTGGACATCTACACTTGGATATAACAAACTCAACTTCAAATCAACATGTCAAATTTAATTGCCAGTATCCTCCCCCCACAACCAATCTTCTTTCTCAGTCAATGTCACCCATCTATCTAGATCAGGACCCTGGAAGTTACTCTGAATGCATTTCTCTTCCTCACAAACTCTACACCATTTATACACCCATAGCTATGTCCCTCAAATGAACTTCCTAAGTATCTCTTGACTCCATTTCTCTCTTTCTCCATTGCCATCGGCTTAGTTCAAGGTCCCATCCCCTCTAGAGTTCTGTGCCCTCTTGCCAATGACCACTGCAAAATCAATCAAAGCATGGTGCCACCTTGATTAAAACCTTCAAACTCAGATAAAGACTGAAATCTACTCTTGTGGGGGAGGGAGATTGGGGAGATGTTGACTAAAGGACACAAAGTTTCAGTGAGACAGAAGGAATGAAGTCGAGATCTATTGTACATCCTAATAACTATAGTTAATAACAAGGTATTGTTGGGTGGTACCTGTGGCTCAGTGAGTAGGGTGCTGGCCCCATATACTGAAGGTGGTGGGTTCAAACCCAACCCCAGCCAACCTGCAACAACAACAACAACAAAATAGCCAGGCATTGTGGTGGGTGCCTGTAGTCCCAGCTACTAGGGAGACTGAGGCAAGAGAATCACCTAAGCCCAAGAGCCGGAGGTTGCTGTGAGCTGTGACACCACGGCACTCTACTGAGGGTGACAAAGTAAGACTCTGTCTCTAAAAAAAAAAGGCATTGTACACTTGAAAATCAGCAAGACAGTCAATGTTAAGTGCTCTCTATACATGTAAGTATGTGAGGTAATATTAATTCTAATTAGCACAATCCAGCCATTCCACAATATATACATAGTACATATTACAAAGTATCATGCTGTGTACTATAAATACATACCCATTTTAGTTGGCAATTTGAATAAACACTTTTTTACCTACTCTGGTCTTTTCTTAAGTCCTTGGTTTTCAGTTAGTCCCCTAAGTTTATGTGTTCAATAAGATGAGGACTAAAATATGTGCATTAAATGTGGTGACATGGAGATAAGAACTTCAGTGACATGTCTTATCAGTCACCTCTTATGTGCCATTCCAGTCTTCTTGGCCCCATCTCTTACTCTGGGCTTTGCCGCTGCAAGCAGTTCTGGAAAGGCTTCCACCAGCTTAGAGAACTTGAACCTGAAGTGCCTTGTGTCAGGCCCATACCAATCTCTCTGGATTCCTGTCCCAGGGCTTCTTTGAAGGCACAGCATGGGAAACTCACAGGAATGGACTCAGGGCCTTTGCACATGCTGCTCCACTTGCCTGGAACATTCCTTTGACATCTTAGTTGTGCCTTATACATGCCTATTCAACCTTGAATCACAGTTCAGGTTTCATGCCTTCAGGGGCATCTTCCCCCAGACTCTACAAATAGATCAAATCCCTGTCTTTTTAGATTCTTACAATATCATATACCTCTTTTTGAAATCTTATAATGTTGCTGTGTTTAAGCCATGTCTGTTTTGCCCACTAGTCTAGGAGCAAATCCATAAATTGTTAAGTGTGGCCAAATAGACTCCCCAGACCACCCATGAGCTAATCAAGGCAGGGAAGAGTATGGAAGTGACTTTCAAATCTAGCAATGTTTAGACTTGGAAATCACATAAGATTGGATCTGCTCAGACACCCAAGCAAACATAATATTGCTTGGGGCAACTTCCCACTTCCGAATCTCATTGCAGGCCTAAGCTTCAATGTCCCCTTGGTGTGCCTCTGTTCTCCAGGGCAAATAGATGTTGACCCCGGAGACCCATGGCTTCCTCCGCACAAGTTGTGTGTTTTCAAGCCATCATCTTATAACACATATTTTCTAGACATATTAGTTTTCTGTTGCTGCATAACAATAGCCCCAAATTTAGAGGCTTCGAACAATACCCATTTATTAGCTTAAAAGTTCTGTAAGTTAGAATCAAGGCAGGCCTGCCTGAGTTCTCAGCTCTAGGTCTCATAAAGCTAAAACCCAGGCGTCAGCCAAATTGGGCTCTGGGTAAAAATCCATATCTAAGTTCGTTCAGATTGTCAGGTGATTTCAGTTCCTTGAAGTTGTTGGTAAAAATCCATTTCCAAGTACATTCAGGTCGTCACGTGATTTCAGTTCCTTGCAGTTTTTGTGAGGACTGAGACCCCCGACCCCCTCCTTCCCCGTTTCCTTGCTAGCAGCCACCATAAAGCCCCTCCCAGCTGCTAAAGGTTGCCTGCGTTCCTTGTCATGGGATCCCTCCATCTTCAAGGCAGCAATAGTGCATCAAATTTTTCTCATGCTTCTTATGTCTCTGACTTTCCTACTGCCACTAGTCAGGAAAAAAAAAAAACTCTACTTTTAAAGGCTCGTAAGACTGGGTTAGGCCCATCCAAGTAATCTCCCATGTTCCATATAATATAATGCAATCACAGGAGTAATACAGGACGAAATGTATGGAGGCCATCTTAAAATTCTGTCTACCACACCAGGTAAAGCAGGGCCTTCTTTTATTTTGTTTTAGTTTTTTGTTTTTTGAAACACAGTCTCACTTTGCCACTCTCAGTAGAGTGCTGTGACATTCTAGCTCAGTCCTCTTGCCTTAGCCTCCCTAGTAGCTGGGGCTACGGGTACCTGCCACAACACCCGGCTATTTTTAGAGACAGGGTCTCGCTCTTGCTCAAGCTGGTCTCAAACTCCTGATTTCAGCCAATCCACCCACCATGGCCTCCCAGAGTACTGGGATTACAGGTGTGAGCCATCAGTGGCTTCTTTTAGAATAAGTTAAACATTAAGTGTTGTATTTGAAAATACCTATAAGGAATTGAAAATGCTTGGGAGCTCTGCTCTACTTTAATTTTCATCTGGCAAGGAGCTGGCTTTCCTTAGCTATTACAAATGGGCAATAATTATTGGTCCTCAGAATAATCAACATCCACATAAAAATCTTTTATAACATAGTAAGGGTGTGATATACAAGGGTGGCATTTCACCAGCCCTTAATTGTAGAATTTAAAAAGAAGGCACTTATCTGATTTAACTCACAACAAAGACACGTGCGGGATTTAGTAAAAAAAAAAAATCTAGTTTAGAAAAGGTTTGGCTCCATATCCCATGAAATAAGATTTTGAGAATTTTCTTAATCACAACTTTGGATGAAGCCAGCCACATTTCTATTTCTTGCATTGCCTGGTTACCAAAAATACTACTTGTGGCCCTCTGTTTGTTAAGAAACAGGTACTCTACGAAAGCACCATGTTTTCCTTACAGAAGTTTCAAAATTGGGTGGTGCTTGTGGCTCAAAGGAGTAGGGTGCCGACCCCATACGCCGGAGGTGGCAGGTTCAAACCCAGCGCTGGCCCAAAACTGCAAAAAAAAAAAAAAGAAGAAGAAGAAATAGTTTCAAAATTAGCAAACCAATAGCTACAAATGGTGATGTTTGTACCATAAGGGACAGAGGACTAGTCGTCATTCCACAAACAGTATTTTGAGTGCCGTCTACGTTTCAGGCACTGCTCGATTTCCAAAGGAGATTATGTAACTACTAGGTAATTAGTAGTTCAAAAGATGATTTTGAAATGAGATTAGCTTAAGCCCCAGCACTACAATGTGCCATCCTTTGGAAAGTTACTGAGTTGACCTTGTCATCTGCAAAATGGGAATAATAATAGAACCTACTGCATTATGTCCCTGTGAGGATTAGTGTGGGTAAGGAAATATTTGCTTGTATTTTTATTTTCTTTTTGAGACAGAGTCTTACTACGTCACCCTCAGTAGAGTGCTGCGGCATCACAGCTCACAGCAACCTCAAACTCTTGGGGGCTTAAGCGATTTTCTTGCCTCAGGTAAGGAAATATTTATGAAGCACTTAGTATAAGCCTGACAGTGTGTTAGTATCACCAGCATCAAGAGCCCACTTTCCAGGTGCTTGCCTCCCATGTAAAGAAATAAGAGAGCACCACATACATCACCATGGAAGTCTAGAAAAATTATGGGAAATACCAGTGAGAGATGTGGTTGTATAGAAGGTGGAGATGACTCCACCTTGAAGATCTTGGATGATACGAAAGCTTCTCAAGTCTACAAAATGTTTCTCATCATCACAATTGCCAATGGCTTCATCTTCAACTTCTTTTTTTGCAGTTTTTGGCCGGGGTTGGGTTTGAACCCGCCACCTCCAGCCTATGGGGCCGGCGCCCCACTCCTTTGAGCCACAGGCACCGCCCAGCTTCATCTTCAACTTCTTTTGGCACTATTAAGCGGAACCCAGTAAAAAAGTGAAATTCGGAACCTAACGTGATGCAATTTATTTAAAATTGTTAAGAGAATTAGCACTTCATAGTCCATACATGTGTGTGGTGCGTTGTTAATTTCATGATAAAAGACCTGGCAAATACTTCTTCTCTAATACTGTGCTTCCGCTTTCGATTTTCCTTAGGAAAACATGTCCCTCAGGTCTTCAATTCTGACCTGCCTTTTCCTGCTAATCTCTGGTTCCTGGGAGTTCTTCGCTGAGGCCAATTACTCTAGAAGCTATCCTTGTGACGAGAGAAGGCAAAATGGCTCTGTGTTTGCAGACTGCAGCAGTCGTCGACTGCAAGAAGTTCCCCAAACGGTGGACAAAAATGTCACAGAACTAGACCTGTCTTACAATTTCATCAAACGCATAACGAATGAATCCTTTCAAGGGCTACAAAGTCTCACTAAAATAAATCTGAACCACAACCCTGATGTCCAGTATCAGTATGAAAATCATGGCATGAATAAACACGGCATGAGTATTACAGACGGGGCACTCTCCGGTCTGACAAACCTAACAGTGCTGTTGCTTGAAGATGTGCAGTTATCCAAAATACCCACTAATTTGCCGGGGTCTTTGCGAGAACTTAGCCTAGTTCAGAACAATATCAACAGTATAAATAAAAGTCATACTACAGGACTTGAGAGCTTGGAAAGGCTCTATCTGGGCTGGAACTGCTATTTTAACATTTGTAATAAAAAGTTTGACATCGAAGATGGAACATTTAAAAACCTGAGCAATCTGCAGATACTGTCGTTATCTTTCAATCCTCTGTTCTATGTGCCAGCAAAATTGCCAACTTCCCTCAAGGAACTTTATCTGAGCAACACCCAGATCAAAACTATCCAAGCAGAGGACTTCGAGGGACTGATACACTTAACAGTGCTGGATTTAAGTGGCAACTGTCCGCGGTGTTTCAATGCACCGTTCCCATGCGTGCCTTGTGCAGGAGATGTTTCCATTAAGATAAACAATTCTGCTTTTCAAAACCTGAGGAAACTTCAATACCTAAACCTCTCTAGCACTTCCCTCAGTCAGGTTCCTGCAATCTGGTTTGAAAATATGCCTGACCTAAGAGTGCTGCATCTTGAATTCAACTACTTAGTGACAGAAATAGCCTCTGGGGAATTTTTAATGAAGCTGCCCCACTTAGAGATACTCGATTTATCTTATAACTATGTAAAGACCGAATATGCAAAATATGTTAATCTTTCCAACAACTTCTCTAAGCTTTCATCTCTCCAGGCATTGCATTTAAGGGGTTATGTGTTCCAGGAACTGAGGAGAGAAGATTTCCAGCCACTGATGGGGCTTCCAAACTTAACCACTATTAATTTGGGTGTTAACTTTATTAAGCAAGTTGATTTTACTCTTTTCCGAAATTTCTCCAAACTGAACATTATTTACTTGTCAGAAAACAGAATTTTGCCCCTTGTAAATGATTTCAGGCAGAATTCTGCCAACAGATCCTCTTTCCAAAGCCATGTCCTCCAACCACGTTCGATTCGTACTCGGTTTAACCCGCATTTAAATTTTTATCATAGAACCCAACCTTTAATAAAGCCCCAATGTACAAGATACGGCAGGGCCTTGGATTTAAGCTTGAACAGTATTTTCTTCATTGGGAAAAGGCAGTTTGAAGGTTTTGGTGACATCGCCTGCTTAAATCTGTCTTCAAACAACAATGCTCAAGTGTTAAATGGAACTGAATTTTCAGACGTCCGTCGAGTCAAATACCTGGATTTGACGAACAATGGACTGGACTTCGATAACGTGAATGCTCTCAGCGAGTTATCGGACAGCTTAGAAGTTCTAGATCTCAGCTATAATTCCCACTACTTCAGAATAGCAGGGGTAACACATCGTCTAGAATTTATTGAAAAGTTAAAAAGCCTCAAAGTTTTAAACTTGAGCCACAACAGCATTTATACTTTAACAGAAAATTACACACTGCAAAGCAATTCCCTGGAAGAGCTGGTTTTCAGTGGAAATCGCCTTGACATTTTGTGGAATGCTGAAGATGAACGCTACCTCTCCATCTTTCGACACCTCAAAAATCTGACCCGACTTGACATATCATTCAACAAACTTACAAATATCCGACATGATGCATTCAACATGTTTCCCCCGAATCTCACCGAGCTACGCATAAATAATAATATGTTAAAGTTCTTTAACTGGACATTACTCTGGCATTTTCGTTATCTCAAGTTGCTTGACTTACACAGCAACAGGCTATTCTCTTTAACTAACAGCCTGTCTGAGTTTCCCCCTTGCCTTCAGATCCTGCTGCTGAGTCACAATAGGGTCTCCTACCTACCCTTGGGCTTTTTCTCCGAGGTCAGCAGCGTGACGCACCTCGACTTAAGTTTCAACTCGCTGAAGATGATCAACAAATCCGCACTTCAGACAAAGACCAGCACCAATTTAACTCTATTAGAACTCCACGGAAACCCTTTTGACTGCACCTGTGACATTGGAGATTTTCGAACGTGGATGGATGAAAATCTGCATGTAACAATCCCCAGATTGACAGATCTCATTTGTGCCAGCCCCGGGGATCAGAGAGGGGAGAGTATTGTGAGTCTGGAGCTAACAACTTGCGTTTCCGACACCACCGCAGTGGTGTTATTTTTCTTCTCGTTCTTTATCACCACCACGGTGATGTTGGGCGCCCTGGCTCACCATCTGTTTTGCTGGGATGTTTGGTTTATCTACCACATGTGTTTAGCTAAGGTGAAAGGCTATAGGTCTCTTTCCACATCCCAAACTTTCTATGATGCTTACATTTCTTATGATACCAAAGATGCCTCTGTTACCGACTGGGTGATCAACGAGCTGCGCTACCACCTCGAAGAAAGTAAAGAAAAGAACGTTCTCCTCTGTTTAGAAGAGAGGGACTGGGACCCAGGACTGGCCATCATTGATAACCTCATGCAGAGCATCAACCAAAGCAAGAAAACAGTATTTATTTTAACCAAAAAGTTTGCAAAAAGCTGGAACTTTAAAACAGCGTTCTACTTGGCCTTACAGAGACTAATGGATGAGAACATGGACGTGATCGTATTTATCCTGCTGGAGCCCGTCTTGCAGCACTGTCAGTATCTGAGGCTGCGGCAGCGGATCTGTAAGAGCTCCATCCTCCAGTGGCCTGACAACCCCAAGGCAGAAGGCTTGTTTTGGCAAAGTCTGAAAAATGTGGTCTTAACTGAAAATGACTCCCGGTATAATAATTTGTATGTTGATTCCATTAACCAGTACTAATTGATGTTAATTTAGTCACGGTTTCACACTGTAATAAACATGTGAAGTAATGACCTTTCTAAGTTAGCTATCACTATGTGGCAAATTACCCCAAAACCTAGTGGCTTAACACAACACACATTTGCTAGCTGACAGTTTGCATGGGTCTGCAGTCCAGACACGGCACAACTGGCTCCTCTGCTTCTGGGTCTCTCCAAAGCTGCAATGTAGGTGTTGGCCAGGGCCACAGGCATCTCTGGGGTTAGGTCTACTTCCAAGTTCACACCCAGGTGGTTGGTTTCAGAATTCAGTTCCTCCTGGGCTGTTGGCCAAAGGCTGTTCTCAGTTCCCTGCCAATGTAGACCTCTCCCACGAGGCGGCCTCCTTCCTCAGAGCCAGCAAGAGAGAGAGGCTGCTAGCAAGATGAGGTCACAATCTTTTGTAATATAGTCAGGGAAGTTTTAGCCCATCATTTGGCATTCTATTCATTAGAAGTAAAGATACTCTACTTGTTAGAAGTAAACCACAGGGTCTGCCAGCTCCGTGGGAGTGGCCACCTCAGTCAGGGAAAACAGATGAAGACCAACATGGTGGACTGTGATTGCCTCAGTTGGTCATCAACCATTTTCCCTGAACTGCTATCAAGAACAGACTGCCATCTAGATTATGGATTGTGAATATCGGGAGGTGGGGATCATCATGAGCCATCTTAACACCTGGCCTAAGAAGAATACCTTCTTTTCAATATTTAAGAAGTTTTGCCACTGTAACTAGTGGTTCTAATATTAAGCTGGTGTTTAGATTTATCATCAATCTGTGGCGACACGGTTATATTATGCTGTAGTTGCATTAGCCTTTTTTACATTTACTTGTACAAGTATTGGCTATACTATTTGACTTTTAAGGTTTAGATGTCATGTAAAGGTTGAGACAAATAGTTTTTTGAGTGTCTTACTTCTTGATTACTTTTTAAAAAGTGTGCAGCTAAATTAGAAGCTTTTGGAGTATTTGTTAAATGCCATTGCTGTAAGTCTTAAAATAAATAAATAAAAATGTCTCATTTCACATGATGAGTGTATGATAAATATATGGTAGAGAAATAGATCCATAGTGTAAAAGAAATTATCATCTATGCTGGGTTTTCTTAATTTTCAGATTAATAGGAGAGTACAAACAATTAGGTTACAACGTTTGTGTTTATTAGGTAAGATCCCTGTTGTAGATGTATGCCATATACCCTTACACCGTGCCTATTAAGTGAGTATGCCGGGGGGGATTGAGAATATTTTTTTAAATCTTCGGTAGAACTAAAAGAGGAAGCAATTTTCAAGAAGCTGTGAAATTGGCTC